CGCATCTCTGTTACACCCTTCTTTTCGCCAGACCCAACCATATGGTCGATAATTGGACGTGGTTGTTAAAATGATCCACGCCCTTAAACTTGCGGTCTACATACTACGAGCGGGAGGCCTGAGTTTATCACTTGAAAACAGGGTGACCAGGTTTTGGACTCGGCCCCCTTTCCTGCAAAGCTAACGGTTGAGGGGGGTGGAGAGAGGGGGTTGGGGTTCTTTCCGCTCGAAACAGAACTCCCCAGGTTGTTTCCCGCCCTTCCGCAGACCCTTCCCCCAAACCACGCGTCAGCACGAAGTTGGGCTGGATTCGCGTTTCCTGACTGAGTTCGTCGCTGCGGTGTTTCTGAAACATGCTGACTTCGTTCTCCAATCAGGCCGCACGAAATGGTGGGCATAAAAAATACCCCCAAAAAACACCACTTTGAATGTAGACTGCAGCTTTAAGTTGATGCGTCCAATTTGTGCTGTTCTGTAGGTTTCCGTGGTTAAATTGATCCGCTCAACTTCGGAACTCAGCACCCTAAATCGAACCATGATAAGCGCATCAGTGATGCGGAATGAAGCTTCCACGATGGCCGTATTTGACATTTTAACACCAGAAGAACAGCGCCACTCTTGCATGCCAAATATCTATCCTTCGCAGGATTGATCGAGAGAGGGCACAAACAGGGCTCAAGATATCAGGGCTTATTACCCTGTTTGCCCTGCATTTCAGGGTGATTTTTCAGACCCACCCTGTTAGAATTGGGTTTTGGGCGTCCATCTTGTCATCGCCAGGAAGGGCTACAAAAGGTCCACGGCAAACGCACCTTTACGGTGATGGCAGGCACCCTGCAGAATTTTCCCTTGGCATTTTTTCACTAATTGCGCGGCTTTTCCTCTTAGCCGAAATGTGCCCATAAGTCATTGGCATTGTCACAATGAAATCTCCAGAATTGGCTAAGTCATTGGCGTTTGTGACACTGAAATTTCGAGAATCGGCCAAATACTTGGCACACCACAGTTATCATCTCCAGCACAAACAGTTGCTTGTAGCGTAACCATTTTGCATTTTACGATTTTTTCAGTACAGTCCGCTTATATCGAAGCGGACACTCCTATTATCGAGAACTGAACCGTCCGATTTGGATTTTTGCAACTTTGGTCTGTCCGGAGGCAAACGTGGCACTTTTTTGTGGTTGTACAGTTTCGCGACTACTATAGCCTCGTGAACGGCACTGTACGACCATTCGCAATTTTCGCCAGCACAATGCGTGCCTCGATTTCAAACATCCAAAGTCATCGAACCCCTCCAGCCTTGCGACAACCAAAAACACACAAAGTGGCAGACACAACTTACGAGCAGCGACTCTTCTCTGCATACCATCATGCCGCGCCGGCTCTTGCTCTCTGTACTACACCTACTGTACAGAAGGTACCCGGGGTTCATTGTGCAACCATCTTACGACTACCTCGCAGATGTGCTCCTTCTGCTCGAAGACGGTGAGCGCAACACTATGCAGCTAGACTGGGAGAATCAGAGAGAGCGGTGGGACTTTCTTCTCGGTGGAGTGCCACACCAAGTGTTCACCGACACCTTCAGAGTTAATCGGCGAATGTTCGATTACCTCGTTGACGCGTGGATCAGTAAGAATGGCGATAGACAGTGCGTTATTCCTATTGAAACGTGTGTCGCCATGACTCTCGTTTATCTCGGGACGGGTGCAACATATCGCCAACTCGGATTGCAGTTTGGGGTGGTGCCGCAGCATGCCCAGAGAATTGTGCTTTGGGTTTCATGGCCTACGGTAGACCAATTGGCCGAGATTGAAGAGGAATTCCGCTATGACGGCGGGAGACCGGGTGTAATTGAGGCTCTAGATGGGGCATACATAGAGTGAGGACGGTTCGGCAGGGACAAGGTGGACTTAAAAAATCGCAAAGGTTTCTACTTTATAATACTACAGCTAGCATGCGACTCAAACGGCATCATCTGGGACTACAATGCGGGATACCCCGGCAGCGTCAATGACGCCCGGGTATTCAACAACTCCTTGCTGAAGCGTCGGCTGTAGGCTGGGGAGATGGCCAACTACATGCTCGTCTCTGACGCGGCATACGGACTCAAAAGCTACACTTGTGTGCCGTGGCAAGCTACACCAGGTCGTGCACTCCGAGCACCACAAGACAAGTGGAACACACAGCAGTCAAGGCAGAGAATGGTGACCGAGAAAGTGAATAGGAGGCTGAAAGCAAGTGGCGGATTTTGGACTGCTGGATGGAGTGCCACAGCGAGCGCGTGCCACAAGTTGTGAGTGCATGCGTCGCAATGCACAACATTGAGCTACCTATAGGGAGTCGGGATCGGCTCGGGCCCCCGCGCGAGCGCCATCGATGGTGGCTGGAGGGTCCCGCGGCGGCTCTTCGTCTTACCGGCCCTGAGGTGCGCGGGTTCAAACCTCGTCTTCGGATGAGGAGGTGGACTGCGGCGATCTACGCCTCCTATAGCGTCGCTCATCCGCAATGCCGCGGAACACCTCCCAGGTAAGTGCTTTGAAGTCTTCCCACTTCTCAACCTGTCGCTTGTCAAAACGGTCGTAGAGATCCCTCATTATCTCCACCGTGCTTGCCGATTTCGCCTTGCCAGCAGCCTTGCGACCAACCCCACGTTTGGTCGCTTTCCCCTTTTTGCCGTGGCTGTCCTCGTCTTGTTTGCGTGGATACTGATACCACGCATGCCTCGAACACCCCACACCACCCTCAGACGGAGGGCGTGCTCCCCAAGTGAGGCGCTGACCGCGGATCGAGACACCCGTCATCGCACCTGACGGGAGCGTAACAGAGCTGGGGGACTCTCCGCTGCTCGGCGGTATGGTATCAGGCAACAGTGGATTGGCAGGGCCGCGGCGAGATGGGGTGGAGGCACCAACAGGCGAAGCGGGTGAGGGAGGGTCAGGGTTGCGGCGTTCTGACGTTGACGGAACAAGCGTCGTAGGCGCTGTCTCTGCAACCGCAGGTGCCGTCGTCTGCAAAGCCGCGCCAGGGGTCGGCGTGAGAGGAGGGGTAGCACGTGGCGCCGCCGTGTTGACCACAGTAGTATATGCTGCCGGCACTGTATTTGTGGCGCCCGTTGCATTTGGCGCAGTAGTCGTGGGGGCAGCCGTGATCGCCGTATTAATTCCGGGCATAGTCGTTGGCGCACCGGTCGTTGTAGCTGTACGATTCGTCGGCCGTGGAGTTGGACCCGCTCAAGCAGTGGCGCGAGTGTTATTCATCGTCGGCGCAGCTGTCGCCGCTAGTGGGGCTGCTGGTGGTAGTCCGGTGCCTGCAAGGACAGGGGGAACACTGCTGGGGCGCTCACCCCAGAGACGTTCGCCAAGATGGTACCAAGGCGGCAGTCCATTTGTGCGGCCCTCCCCCGAGCGCTTGATACGGTCGTTGATACGCCGCCACGTCTCCTTTAGGCGGTTGTATTTTGCCTTCAGTGCCGCCACGTCGTGACGCCAGGTGGGATGACGCTTCCACAACTCCCGCTGGACCAAGGGGTACCAGTTGCGTCCCTGCTGGGCCGTGCGCGCACGTATCTGGGCGTCGAGGTCGATGAAGGTCGCCAGCACATCGCATTCTTCTTCAGGCTTCCAGCGAGGGTTGTTCATGGCGGTAGAACGGCGAGAGGCTCCAGCAGTGTTGGTGGTTGGAGCGCTCTCTTGCTCCGCGGGTTCCTCCTCTACCTCTCCTAGAGCTCCAGCGTCGGTCACGGCGGCGCCGAGGCCGTAGTCCTCGTCGGCATCGTAAGAGGCACTCGTGGAGGGGATCTAATAAACCCACCAGTCAGCGGGTGTGATGGTGGTTGTAGCGAATGGAGCAGCGTTTGTGTTAGAGGGCCTGGTATCTGAGACTCTTGCGTTTCGAGAACAGTAGGCCCAGGCGTGGGAGCATCGGGTGGTGCAGATGGCGGGGAGTTCGGAGAGGTGTTGTCCGGTTGGGTGTTTTGGGCAGTGCTTGAGTGATCCATGGTTGGGTACAGAGGCAGGTGGGATGGTTCTGGAGCGTCATGTCACTGCTTTATGTATTGGTGGTGGGATGTTTGTGTGAGTTCAATGTCAATTTGTGTAGCCGTGGTCCAGGTTGTTGACATTTGATGAGGCAACTCGACTATTTTATTTTTATTTGGTTTTCGCGCGCCAATCGTGTGCAAGGACTGTTGGACCGTTCGTTTGGGCTTCGGACTGTCCAAGGTTCAGATTTGGACCATTGAAGAGGGGGGAAAGCGTCACGACTGTCCGAATTCCTGGCGATGTCGCCAACACCCTTGCGAACACCTCTACGACATTTTGCGAAACACGTTACCCTTCACCAGCCCGGACGGTCCACGGTTTGAACCGTCGGGTGCAAAATGGTTACGCGCCCTTATTGCTAGTGAACGTACCTAGCAAGGAAGTGTTTTTGGATTTTCTGAGATCCGACCTCTAGAAAAAAATACACTGCCATTTCTTGGGTGTGACTTTCAAGGCACACTGTCGTGGCAGGGTGTAGTGGGCCACAACAACTCGGATCAGGCAGCGTGCCCTAAAACGAATCAAGAACCCTGGGCACAAACCCACGATCAATGTACAGAAAAGCTTCATGGTGTGCCGATAACTGAGAACATGCTACATTGTAACATTGTTTCGGCAGAATTCGATGGTCCTGCAAGGCTGGACATATTTGCGGTGTAACCATGCACCTAACACAGGAGGTGGTATTTCGTATCACGGCCTACGTTGGGCTATTTCGACGCCGCGCAGTTTCGCGGGCCTGTCCCTTCTCGTGCCCCTGCCAGCTCCTTACTGTTACCTTTTTTCGCTTGGGATGCCTCCCCTTGCTCGGATCCGAGGCCCGGCCTTCTTAGCATAGATCCCTGCATTAGGGCATTGTTCATAGATAGCTCACGTAGGATACCTCAAAGTATCGGCCATGTTTTGGGGGCCAGAAATACTGTGAGGTGCGAATCTCTCGCGCCACGCCCTCGTGACTTGATGGCGCCATCTGGGCCGCCCTCCGCTCGGCGGTCCACAGCGGCTGTCGCGCGCGTTGCGGCGGCGCTGCTGATGTTCGCCGCCGCCGCTGCCGCCGCTGGTGAAGGGCCGGTCGTGAGCGGGGCTTTAGCGAGAGCGAGGCCTGGCGAGCTGGTTGGGGGGGCATGGCGGCGAAATGGTTCGGACAGTGAGGCGCGGGATGACCGTGCATGGCGCGCGGGTGGGAACGGCGAGGCCTGGAGGGGGTATGGGGTCGACACGGACGCGAGGGGAGATGGAATGAGCGATCGTGTGGTTGGGGGCTCACTCGAACGCGCTGACAGTGACGGAAGTGACAGTGACGGAAGTGACAGTGACGGAAGTGACAGTGACGGAGGTGACGGTGAGAGTGAAGGCGCTGACGGCGACGATGTGGGCGAGTGGTTGTCAGGGCGGCACTCACAGCAGCGTGCGCGTGGCGGCGACGAGGGGGGGACGCGAGGGCGGTCTCCAAGGGGCGCGCGGTGGGAATTGCAGGGGGAGCGGACGCGGGAGGGGAGGTGGGAAGCGTCCGGGGGAAGGGAGGTGGCGGAGGAGCGAGGAGGTTCAGTGGGCGGAGAGGAGCGCAGGCGAGGGGAGGGCAGGCGAGGCACGGGTGGGCGACGCAGGCTGGCGGATGGGCAAGGCAGTGAGGGGGGCGGTGGCGGGTACGACGACGGCAGCAGCGATGGGCGCGAGCGCATGCACGTGGGCGCGCGTGGGGGCATGGCGGGCCCTTGGGTGTGGGTGGACGGAGTTAAACGGCACACGCGGCGGGCAGGGGACAGATGCTGGAGCCAATGGGAGATGCGCATGTATGTCACGGTGAGATGCATGTATGTGACGGTGAGATGCATGTATGTGACGGTGAGATGCATGTATGTCACGGTGAGATGCATGTATGTCACGGTGAGATGCATGCATGTCACGGTGAGATGCATGCATGTCACGGTGAGATGCATGCATGTCACGGTGAGATGCATGCATGTGACGGTGAGATGCATGTATGTCACGGTGAGATGCATGCATGTCACGGTGAGATGCATGTATGTCACGGTGAGATGCATGTATGTCACGGTGAGATGCATGTATGTGACGAGCCTCACTCACTAACTCGCCCCGCCCTTGTGCATGGCCTCTGCGTCGCGCCTCCTTCTCTGCGTGCATGGCAGCGCCCCGACCGTCAGCTGCTGCCATCGATGGCGTTGAGGCGGCGCCTGTCGGAGTACCGTCGGATGCACCGCCGCTGCACGCAGGTCCACGACTGGCTCGCCTTCTACCGCAACCCGTGAGCCTTCTACCACCGCAACCCGTGAGCCTTCTACCGCAACCCGTGAGCCTTCCTTCCTAGTCCATGCCTCTGCCATTCCTAGTCCATGCCTCTGCCATTCCTAGTCCATGCCTCTGCCATTCCTAGTCCATGCCTCTGCCATTCCTAGTCCATGCCTCTGCCATTCCTAGTCCATGCCTCTGCCATTCCTAGTCCATGCCTCTGCCATTCCTAGTCCATGCCTCTGCCGTTTCTAATCCAGGCGTCCTCCATTCCTCGCCCATGCCTCTGCCGTTCCTATTCCACGCCTTTCTTGCATCGCCCCACCCATCTCTGCACCCATCGCCCCACCAATCCCTGTGCGGGGGGGAGCAGGGCCATGGGGTGGAAGGACGGCATAGAGGGGCTGGGCAACTGCAAGTATCTCTTCTACATGCCGCCCGCCTTCCATGGTAAGCTGCAGGAATGTATTGTTAGCCGCACAACCACGAGATATTATCTTTCTAAGAACGAATTCAGATGTGAAAAAGATAAATGTGGGGTCCCAATCCTGACTGGATCCCAATCCTGACTGGATCCCAATCCTGACTGGATCCCAATCCTGACTGGATCCCAATCCTGACTGGATCCCAATCCTGACTGGATCCCAATCCTGACTGGATCCCAATCCTGACTGGATCCCAATCCTGACTGGATCCCAATCCTGACTGGATCCCAATCCTGACTGGATCCCAATCCTGACTGGATCCCAATCCTGACTGGATCCCAATCCTGACTGGATCCCAATCCTGACTGGATCCCACGCGCCGCCTGCTCCCGGCTATCGCAAGCTTTGCACGGATCATTAGTGGCGAGAGGCTCATGCTGCCCACCATGCAGCGGCACGCTCGTTTGTTGTGTGTGGTGCGCGCTGGGATGGGAATGTGTGATGGCCCCGAGCCACTGAGAAGTGCGGTGTGCACATGGGCAAAGAAAGCTGAGCACACAAGAGGGGAGAGGAGCAGAGCGAGTGAGTGCAGCAGCACGGCACGGTGTGCTGTGTGGAGAGGTGGCGGTGAGGGGCACAGCAGTGCATCGTGTGATGTGAAGCTCTTGAGAGCGAATAGATGGAAGGCTGATCTGGGTGCAAAGAAGCGTGTGAGAAAGCAGTTGAGGTTTATCCATTGGTGTGTATGTAAGGCAAGTATGCCGTTGGTGTGTATGTAAGGCAAGTATGCCATTGGTGTGTATGTAAGGCAAGTATGCCATTGGTGTGTATGTAAGGCAAGTATGCCATTGGTGTGTATGTAAGGCAAGTATGCCGTTGGTGTGTATGTAAGGCAAGTATGCCATTGGTGTGTATGTAAGGCAAGTATGCCGTTGGTGTGTATGTAAGGCAAGTATGCCATTGGTGTGTATGTAAGGCAAGTATGCCATTGGTGTGTATGTAAGGCAAGTATGCCATTGGTGTGTATGTAAGGCAAGTACGCCATTGGTGTGTATGTAAGGCAAGTATGCCATTGGTGTGTATGTAAGGCAAGTATGCCATTGGTGTGTATGTAAGGCAAGTATGCCATTGGTGTGTATGTAAGACAAGTATGCCATTGGTGTGTATGTAAGGCAAGTATGCCATTGGTGTGTATGTAAGGCAAGTATGCCATTGGTGTGTATGTAAGGCAAGTATGCCATTGGTGTGTACGTAAGGCAAGTATGCCATTGGTGTGTATGTAAGGCAAGTATGCCATTGGTGTGTATGTAAGGCAAGTATGCCATTGGTGTGTATGTAAGGCAAGTATGCCATTGGTGTGTATGTAAGGCAAGTATGCCATTGGTGTGTATGTAAGGCAAGTATGCCATTGGTGTGTATGTAAGGCAAGTATGCCATTGGTGTGTATGTAAGGCAAGTATGCCATTGGTGTGTAAGTAAGGCAAGTATGCCATTGCTGTGTATGTAAGGCAAGTATGCCATTGGTGTGTATGTAAGGCAAGTATGCCATTGGTGTGTATGTAAGGCAAGTATGCCATTGGTGTGTATGTAAGGCAAGTATGCCATTGGTGTGTATGTAAGGCAAGTATGCCATTGGTGTGTATGTAAGGCAAGTATGCCATTGGTGTGTATGTAAGGCAAGTATGCCATTGGTGTGTATGTAAGGCAAGTATGCCATTGGTGTGTATGTAAGGCAAGTATGCCATTGGTGTGTACGTAAGGCAAGTATGCCATTGGTGTGTATGTAAGGCAAGTATGCCATTGGTGTGTATGTAAGGCAAGTATGCCATTGGTGTGTATGTAAGGCAAGTATGCCATTGGTGTGTATGTAAGGCAAGTATGCCATTGGTGGTGTGTATGTAAGGCAAGTATGCCATTGGTGTGTATGTGAGGCAAGTATGCCATTGGTGTGTATGTAAGGCAAGTATGCCATTGGTGTGTATGTAAGGCAAGTATGCCACTGGTGTGTATGTAAGGCAAGTATGCCATTGGTGTGTATGTAAGGCAAGTATGCCATTGGTGTGTATGTAAGGCAAGTATGCCATTGGTGTGTATGTAAGGCAAGTATGCCATTGGTGTGTATGTAAGGCAAGTATGCCATTGGTGTGTATGTAAGGCAAGTATGCCATTGGTGTGTATGTAAGGCAAGTATGCCATTGGTGTGTATGTAAGGCAAGTATGCCATTGGTGTGTATGTAAGGCAAGTATGCCATTGGTGTGTATGTAAGGCAAGTATGCCACTGGTGAGGATGGTTGCGGTCGTGCTGCGCCTCAAATCCCCCTCTCCACCTGTGCCATGGCCTCCCCCTCTCCACCTGTGCCGTGGCCTCCCCCTCTCCACCTGTGCCGTGGCCTCCCCCTCTCCACCTGTGCCGTGGCCTCCCCCTCTCCACCTGTGCCGTGGCCTCCCCCTCTCCACCTGTGCCGTGGCCTCCCCCTCTCCACCTGTGCTGTGGCCTCCCCCGCTGCACGCCTGCAGGGGTGGGCAACCGCATAATGGCGCTCATCTCGGCCTTCAGCTACGCGCTGCTGACCAACCGCACGCTCATCATCCCGCCCGACTCCTTCCTCTTCCGCTTCTTCTGTGAACCCTTCCCCGGCACCTCCTGGACCATTCCCCTCGAGGCCTTTAAGTAAGTCGCCTCGCCATGCATGCAACCACTCTGCTCTGAGTTGCGCACTGTGCTCGTGTGGGGTGGGCTGGCCACCATCAACCAACGCACCTGTTTCACATGTCACTTCCATCCACCACTGCCTTTCACAAGCCCGCCTCACATACCCTCCTTTCTCCTTTCTCAAATACCCTCCCCACCCCCCTTGTTCCCAGCACCATATCCCAGACGGTGCACCGGTCGCCGGCACGCAACCGAGGCCTTGTCAATGGATGGGACGGCCATGACGTCAGCATGCACATGTCATGGGAGTGAGTGACGTCAGCATGTACATACCATGGGAGAGAATGACGTCAGCATGCACATGTCATTTTCTGGTTCCAATCCAGCTTGCTTGGTTTGTCGAGTTCATTGCTCGTGCGTTGAGTAGAGGTGCGCGACCCTGAGAAAATATTATCTTCTCACTCGCAAACCTGCTCCCCCTTGTCTTTCCCCCTCTCTCCTCACCCCCACAGCCCCCCCTTCTCCCATTTCTCTTCACTCTTATCTTTCCACTACCTCCCCCCCCCACCCCACCGTGTGCAGCTCCAAGGCGGACACGTGGGGCATGTTTTGTGAGGCGGAGCAGCAGGAGATGGGCATGGCGCGCTTCGCCACGCTCTACACCGACTACTTCCTCGTGCCGCACTTCTACCTCGTGCCCTCGCTGCAGGTAAGGTACATGGTGCCCTCGCTGCAGGTATGTATGTGGTGCCCTCGCTGCAGGTATGTATGTGATGCCCTCGCTGCAGGTATGTATGTGATGCCCTCGCTGCAGGTATGTATGTGGTGCCCTCGCTGCAGGTATGTATGTGGTGCCCTCGCTGCAGGTATGTATGTGGTGCCCTCGCTGCAGGTATGTATGTGGTGCCCTCGCTGCAGGTATGTATGTGGTGCCCTCGCTGCAGGTATGCTCATGCTGCAGGTACGTTCATGCTGCAGGTACATGCCGCCCATACAGTGGTACATTGGTGCGGTGGGTACAGAGAAAGAACCCCTCGCGTTGAGAGCAGGGCCAGTGGGGCTGGCTGCCCGGGCTCTCAAGCTTGGGGTGCAGGTTGGGGTGCAGGTGGGGGTGCAGGTGGGGGTGCAGGTGGGGGTGCAGGTGGGGGTGCAGGTTGGGGTGCAGGTGGGGGTGGAGGTTGGGCCATCATGACCTGAAGCACATGCTAATTGCACCGGCACTGGCCTGTGCATTTAGTTGTTGGGCGCGGACAGCCATGTGTGCCAGTGCTGCATGAGTTGTGCGTGGGTCCACTACTTGCCCGTGCCGCCTCTCTGCATGCTGCCCCTGCCGGCCTCTCTGCATGCTGCCCGTGCCGCAGGAAGGAAGTTCAGGTCGTTATGCCAAGGCACGATGAGAGGCACGATGAGAGGCATGCCTTTGCATGTCTTCCTTACCATCTGCTCATTTCTCATTGCTCATTTGCTTGTTTGCTCATTGCTCCCTCTGTCTCTACATGCCCACCCTCCTCTCCCTCTCCCTCTCACTCCATGCCGCACCCCCTCTGCCCGCCACGGCAGGTGCAGCTCGAAGCTCTCTTTCCCGATCGACGAGTCTTCACCCACCTTTCCAGGTCAGTCGTCCCGTCACCCACCTTTCCAGGTCAGTCGTCCCGTCACCCACCTTTCCAGGTCAGTCGTCACTCACCTCTCCATTCAAACATCACACTCCAGTCGTAGCATCCCCAACTAGCTGTCCTAATCCATTACCACAGTGGAATTTCGATTTAGACTTCTGACTTGTGGAGCAAGTGGGTTTCAAGGAGTGGGTTGACATGGAATCTCCATGGAAGTGTGTTCTTGTGATCATCATGAATGGCGGTCTAGTGATGCTCAACTCGGTACCATGCAAACCCCATGTCATCTCTGCTCAACTCGGTACCATGCAAACCCCATGTCATCTCTGCTCAACTCAGTACCATGCAAACCCCATGTCATCTCTGCTCAACTCGGTACCATGCAAACCCCATGTCATCTCTGCTCAACTCAGTACCATGCAAACCCCATGTCATCTCTGCTCAACTCGGTACCATGCAAACCCCATGTCATCTCTGCTCAACTCGGTACCATGCAAACCCCATGTCATCTCTGCTCAACTCGGTACCATGCAAACCCCATGTCATCTCTGCTCAACTCGGTACCATGCAAACCCCATGTCATCTCTGCTCAACTCGGTACCATGCAAACCCCATGTCATCTCTGCTCAACTCGGTACCATGCAAACCCCATGTCATCTCTGCTCAACTCAGTACCATGCAAACCCCATGGCATCTCTGCTCAACTCGGTACCATGCAAACCCCATGCCATCTCTGCTCAACTCGGTACCATGCAAACCCCATGTCATCTCTGCTCAACTCGGTACCATGCAAACCCCATGTCATCTCTGATCAACTCGGTACCATGCAAACCCCATGGCATCTCTGCTCAACTCGGTACCATGCAAACCCCATGTCATCTCTGCTCAACTCGGTACCATGCAAACCCCATGTCATCTCTGCTCAACTCGGTACCATGCAAACCCCATGTCATCTCTGCTCAACTCAATACCATGCAAACCCCATGTCATCTCTGCTCAACTCGGTACCATGCAAACCCCATGTCATCTCTGCTCAACTCGGTACCATGCAAACCCCATGTCATCTCTGCTCAACTCGGTACCATGCAAACCCCATGTCATCTCTGCTCAACTCGGTACCATGCAAACCCCATGTCATCTCTGCTCAACTCAATACCATGCAAACCCCATGGCATCTCTGCTCAACTCGGTACCATGCAAACCCCATGTCATCTCTGCTCAACTCGGTACCATGCAAACCCCATGTCATCTCTGCTCAACTCGGTACCATGCAAACCCCATGTCATCTCTGCTCAACTCAATACCATGCAAACCCCATGTCATCTCTGCTCAACTCGGTACCATGCAAACCCCATGTCATCTCTGCTCAACTCGGTACCATGCAAACCCCATGTCATCTCTGCTCAACTCGGTACCATGCAAACCCCATGTCATCTCTGCTCAACTCGGTACCATGCAAACCCCATGTCATCTCTGATCAACTCGGTACCATGCAAACCCCATGGCATCTCTGCTCAACTCGGTACCATGCAAACCCCATGTCATCTCTGCTCAACTCGGTACCATGCAAACCCCATGTCATCTCTGCTCAACTTGGTACCATGCAAACCCCATGTCATCTCTGCTCAACTCAATACCATGCAAACCCCATGTCATCTCTGCTCAACTCGGTACCATGCAAACCCCATGTCATCTCTGCTCAACTCGGTACCATGCAAACCCCATGTCATCTCTGCTCAACTCGGTACCATGCAAACCCCATGTCATCTCTGCTCAACTCGGTACCATGCAAACCCCATGTCATCTCTGCTCAACTCAATACCATGCAAACCCCATGTCATCTCTGCTCAACTCGGTACCATGCAAACCCCATGTCATCTCTGCTCAACTCAGTACCATGCAAACCCCATGTCATCTCTGCTCAACTCGGTACCATGCAAACCCCATGTCATCTCTGCTCAACTCAGTACCATGCAATCCCCATGGCATCTCTGCTCAACTCGGTACCATGCAAACCCCATGCCATCTCTGCTCAACTCGGTACCATGCAAACCCCATGTCATCTCTGCTCAACTCGGTACCATGCAAACCCCATGTCATCTCTGATCAACTCGGTACCATGCAAACCCCATGGCATCTCTGCTCAACTCGGTACCATGCAAACCCCATGTCATCTCTGCTCAACTCGGTACCATGCAAACCCCATGTCATCTCTGCTCAACTCGGTACCATGCAAACCCCATGTCATCTCTGCTCAACTCTGTACCATGCAAACCCCATGTCATCTCTGCTCAACTCGGTACCATGCAAACCCCATGTCATCTCTGCTCAACTCGGTACCATGCAAACCCCATGTCATCTCTGCTCAACTCGGTACCATGCAAACCCCATGTCATCTCTGCTCAACTCGGTACCATGCAAACCCCATGTCATCTCTGCTCAACTCAATACCATGCAAACCCCATGTCATCTCTGCTCAACTCGGTACCATGCAAACCCCATGTCATCTCTGCTCAACTCGGTACCATGCAAACCCCATGCCATCTCTGCTCAACTCAGTACCATTCAAACCCCATGGCATCTCTGCTCAACTCGGTACCATGCAAACCCCATGTCATCTCTGCTCAACTCGGTACCATGCAAACCCCATGTCATCTCTGCTCAACTCGGTACCATGCAAACCCCATGTCATCTCTGCTCAACTCGGTACCATGCAAACCACATGTCATCTCTGCTCAACTCGGTACCATGCAAACCCCATGGCATCGCTGCTCAACTCAGTACCATGCAAACCCCATGTCATCTCTGCTCAACTCTGTACCATGCAAACCCCATGTCATCTCTGCTCAACTCGGTACCATGCAAACCCCATGTCATCTCTGCTCAACTCGGTACCATGCAAACCCCATGTCATCTCTGCTCAACTCGGTACCATGCAAACCCCATGCCATCTCTGCTCAACTCAGTACCATGCAAACCCCATGGCATCTCTGCTCAACTCGGTACCATGCAAACCCCATGTCATCTCTGCTCAACTCGGTACCATGCAAACCCCATGTCATCTCTGCTCAACTCGGTACCATGCAAACCCCATGTCATCTCTGCTCAACTCGGTACCATGCAAACCCCATGTCATCTCTGCTCAACTCGGTACCATGCAAACCCCATGGCATCTCTGCTCAACTCGGTACCATGCAAACCCCATGCCATCTCTGCTCAACTCGGTACCATGCAAACCCCATGTCATCTCTGCTCAACTCGGTACCATGCAAACCCCATGTCATCTCTGCTCAACTCGGTACCATGCAAACCCCATGTCATCTCTGCTCAACTCGGTACCATGCAAACCCCATGTCATCTCTGCTCAACTCGGTACCATGCAAACCCCATGCCATCTCTGCTCAACTGCCACGGCCTGCAGCACCCCTTTTTGGATCTACTTAAGCGCCAACCGCCCATGACCCGTGTGCCATGCGTGTGCCATGCATGTGCCATGCATGTGCCATGCGTGTGCGGTGCATGTGCCATGCGTGTGCCGTGCATGTGCCATGCATGTGCGGTGCAGGTACCTGCTGCACCCGGCCAACTACCTGTGGGATCGCATCACCCGCCTCTACCACGGCCACCTCGCCCACCACTCCCTCACCGTGGGCCTGCAGGTCCGCTCCCAGGGGGGGTATGAGGGGCTCACGGGGAAGGGGGAGAGGAGAGGGGGAGGTGGGAAGGGGGAAGGGGAAGGGGGATTGGAGTTGGGTTGGGAAGGATTTTGTTGGGTTGGGTCTGGAGGGATTGTGTTGGTTTGGGTTGGGAGGGGTTGTTTTAAAGGGGGGGTTGGAAGAGGAAGGGGGGTTGGAGTTGGGATGGGAGGTTGGAGAGGAGGGGAATGAACGAGAAAGGGAAGAGGGGAAAGTAGACGGCAAAGGAGGGTTGAAAATATGGGGGTAGGCATCGAGTGTGCATATGCTCACCACATCCACATCTGTGCATGTTTGCATGCTTGCATGTTTGCCTGTTTGCATGTTTGCCTGTTTGCCTCATCAATACATGTGTTGCGTGCGCATGTGCATGTGTGTGCATGTGCTTATGCATGCATGATGCTGTGTGCATGTGTGTGTGCATGTGTGTGCATGTGTGCATGTGTGTGCATGTGTGTGCATGTGTGCATGTGTGCATGTGTGCATGTGTGTGCATGTGTGTGCATGTGTGTGCATGTGTGCATGTGTGTGCATGTGTGCATGTGTGTGCATGTGTGCATGTGTGTGCATGTGTGTGCATGTGCACGTGTCAGATCCGGGCATTCGAGGAGACAGAGGAGGACCTCATGGTGAATGTCTTTGAGTGCGCCACCAACATCGCCAGAGTGCTGCCACCTGTCATGCCCACCGACCAATGGCGAGACACCGCAGCATCTGTGAGTGGCACCTGAGGAACATAGCTGTGAGTGGCACGTGGGGGGCACAGCTGTGAGTGGCACGTGGGGAGCACAGCTGTGAGTGGCACATGGGGAGCACAGCTGTGAGTGGCACGTGGGGAGCACAGCTGTGAGTGGCACGTGGGGAGCACAGCTGTGAGTGGCACGTGGGGAGCACAGCTGTGAGTGGCACGTGGGGAGCACAGCTGTGAGTGGCACGTGGGGAGCACAGCTGTGAGTGGCACGTGGGGAGCACAGCTGGCGCCATGGCATGGCATGGCATGGGGTACCAGTGGTCCCTCTCGGTGCATCTCTCGCTCCCATTGCTCTGGATGCAAGCATACAAGCATAATGCAGTGAATGAGCTCTATCCGATGCCGAGGCGTAAGGGCAGCCATGAGGCGTAAGGGCAGCCATGAGGCGTAAGGGCAGCCATGAGGCGTAAGGGCAGCCATGCACCACTCCCCATGCACCACTCCCCACTAAAGTGCACCACTCCCCCGAACCACTCTCCACCCCTGTGCGCCGTGCAGGTGACGGAGGAGGCGCTGCTGGGCGTGCGGGGCCGCAGCATCGGGGCGCTGGTGGTGTCGCTCAACCCCGCGCACGGCGCCAAGCTGCGCGACCGCTACTCGCTGGGCAAGCCACTCGATGGCTCCACTGTCTCCGTCTTCAGGTGAGTGTTGAGGCGCCTCACAGCTCACCTCAATGCGCGCTGGTGGTGTCTCAACCCCACCCACGGCGCCAAGCTGCGCGGCCGCTACATGCTGGGCAAGCCGCTGGACGGCAGCACTGTCTCCGTCTTCAGGTGCGCTCCATGCACCATTCAGGCGTGATGGTGCGCTCCATGCACCATTCAGGCGTGATGGTGCGCTCCATGCACCATTCAGGCGTGATGGTGCGCTCCATGCACCATTCAGGCGTGATGGTGCCCTCCATGCACCATTCAGGCGTGATGGTGCGCTCCATGCACCATTCAGGCGTGATGGTGCGCTCCATGCACCATTCAGGCGTGATGGTGCCCTCCATGCACCATTCAGGCGTGATGGTGCCCTCCATGCACCATTCAGGCGTGATGGTGCCCTCCATGCACCATTCAGGCGTGATGGTGCCCTGCATGCACCATTCAGGCGTGATGGTGCCCTCCATGCACCATTCAGGCGTGATGGTGCCCTCCATGCACCATTCAGGCGTGATGGTGCCCTCCATGCACCATTCAGGCGTGATGGTGCCCTCCATGCACCATTCAGGCGTGATGGTGCCCTCCATGCACCATTCAGGCGTGATGGTGCCCTGCATGCACCATTCAGGCGTGATGGTGCCCTCCATGCACCATTCAGGCGTGATGGTGCCCTCCATGCACCATTCAGGCGTGATGGTGCCCTCCATGCACCATTCAGGCGTGATGGTGCCCTGCATGCACCATTCAGGCGTGATGGTGCCCTCCATGCACCGTTCAGGCGTGATGGTGCCCTCCATGCACCATTCAGGCGTGATGGTGCCCTCCATGCACCATTCAGGCGTGATGGTGCCCTCCATGCACCATTCAGGCGTGATGGTGCCCTGCATGCACCATTCAGGCGTGATGGTGCCCTCCATGCACCATTCAGGCGTGATGGTGCCCTCCATGCACCATTCAGGCGTGATGGTGCCCTCCATGCACCATTCAGGCGTGATGGTGCCCTCCATGCACCATTCAGGCGTGATGGTGCCCTCCATGCACCATTCAGGCGTGATGGTGCCCTCCATGCACCATTCAGGCGTGATGGTGCCCTCCATGCACCATTCAGGCGTGATGGTGCCCTCCATGCACCATTCAGGCGTGATGGTGCCCTCCATGCACCATTCAGGCGTGATGGTGCCCTCCATGCACCATTCAGGCGTGATGGTGCCCTCCATGCACCATTCAGGCGTGATGGTGCCCTCCATGCACCATTCAGGCGTGATGGTGCCCTCCATGCACCATTCAGGCGTGATGGTGCCCTGCATGCACCATTCAGGCGTGATGGTGCCCTCCATGCACCATTCAGGCGTGATGGTGCCCTCCATGCACCATTCAGGCGTGATGGTGCCCTCCATGCACCATTCAGGCGTGATGGTGCCCTCCATGCACCATTCAGGCGTGATGGTGCCCTGCATGCACCATTCAGGCGTGATGGTGCCCTCCATGCACCATTCAGGCGTGATGGTGCCCTCCATGCACCATTCAGGCGTGATGGTGCCCTCCATGCACCATTCAGGCGTGATGGTGCCCTCCATGCACCATTCAGGCGTGATGGTGCCCTCCATGCACCATTCAGGCGTGATGGTGCCCTGCATGCACCATTCAGGCGTGATGGTGCCCTCCATGCACCATTCAGGCGTGATGGTGCCCTCCATGCACCATTCAGGCGTGATGGTGCCCTCCATGCACCATTCAGGCGTGATGGTGCCCTGCATGCACCATTCAGGCGTGATGGTGCCCTCCATGCACCGTTCAGGCGTGATGGTGCCCTCCATGCACCATTCAGGCGTGATGGTGCCCTCCATGCACCATTCAGGCGTGATGGTGCCCTCCATGCACCATTCAGGCGTGATGGTGCCCTGCATGCACCATTCAGGCGTGATGGTGCCCTCCATGCACCATTCAGGCGTGATGGTGCCCTCCATGCACCATTCAGGCGTGATGGTGCCCTCCATGCACCATTCAGGCGTGATGGTGCCCTCCATGCACCATTCAGGCGTGATGGTGCCCTCCATGCACCATTCAGGCGTGATGGTGCCCTCCATGCACCATTCAGGCGTGATGGTGCCCTCCATGCACCATTCAGGCGTGATGGTGCCCTCCATGCACCATTCAGGCGTGATGGTGCCCTCCATGCACCATTCAGGCGTGATGGTGCCCTCCATGCACCATTCAGGCGTGATGGTGCCCTGCATGCACCATTCAGGCGTGATGGTGCCCTCCATGCACCATTCAGGCGTGATGGTGCCCTCCATGCACCATTCAGGCGTGATGGTGCCCTCCATGCACCATTCAGGCGTGATGGTGCCCTCCATGCACCATTCAGGCGTGATGGTGCCCTCCATGCACCATTCAGGCGTGATGGTGCCCTCCATGCACCATTCAGGCGTGATGGTGCCCTCCATGCACCATTCAGGCGTGATGGTGCCCTCCATGCACCATTCAGGCGTGATGGTGCCCTCCATGCACCATTCAGGCGTGATGGTGCCCTCCATGCACCATTCAGGCGTGATGGTGCCCTCCATGCACCATTCAGGCGTGATGGTGCCCTCCATGCACCATTCAGGCGTGATGGTGCCCTCCATGCACCATTCAGGCGTGATGGTGCCCTCCATGCACCATTCAGGCGTGATGGTGCCCTCCATGCACCATTCAGGCGTGATGGTGCCCTCCATGCACCATTCAGGCGTGATGGTGCCCTCCATGCACCATTCAGGCGTGATGGTGCGCTCCATGCACCATTCAGGCGTGATGGTGCCCTCCATGCACCATTCAGGCGTGATGGTGCCCTCCATGCACCATTCAGGCGTGATGGTGCCCTGCATGCACCATTCAGGCGTGATGGTGCCCTCCATGCACCATTCAGGCGTGATGGTGCCCTCCATGCACCATTCAGGCGTGATGGTGCCCTCCATGCACCATTCAGGCGTGATGGTGCCCTGCATGCACCATTCAGGCGTGATGGTGCCCTCCATGCACCGTTCAGGCGTGATGGTGCCCTCCATGCACCATTCAGGCGTGATGGTGCCCTGCATGCACCATTCAGGCGTGATGGTGCCCTGCATGCACCATTCAGGCGTGATGGTGCCCTCCATGCACCATTCAGGCGTGATGGTGCCCTCCATGCACCATTCAGGCGTGATGGTGCCCTCCATGCACCATTCAGGCGTGATGGTGCCCTCCATGCACCATTCAGGCGTGATGGTGCCCTGCATGCACCATTCAGGCGTGATGGTGCCCTCCATGCACCATTCAGGCGTGATGGTGCCCTCCATGCACCATTCAGGCGTGATGGTGCCCTCCATGCACCATTCAGGCGTGATGGTGCCCTGCATGCACCATTCAGGCGTGATGGTGCCCTCCATGCACCATTCAGGCGTGATGGTGCCCTCCATGCACCATTCAGGCGTGATGGTGCCCTCCATGCACCATTCAGGCGTGATGGTGCCCTCCATGCACCATTCAGGCGTGATGGTGCCCTGCATGCACCATTCAGGCGTGATGGTGCCCTCCATGCACCATTCAGGCGTGATGGTGCCCTCCATGCACCATTCAGGCGTGATGGTGCCCTCCATGCACCATTCAGGCGTGATGGTGCCCTCCATGCACCATTCAGGCGTGATGGTGCCCTCCATGCACCATTCAGGCGTGATGAAACCCTGCATGCACCATTCAGGCGTGATGGTGCCCTCCATGCACCATTCAGGCGTGATGGTGCCCTCCATGCACCATTCAGGCGTGATGGTGCCCTCCATGCACCATTCAGGCGTGATGGTGCCCTGCATGCACCATTCAGGCGTGATGGTGCCCTCCATGCACCATTCAGGCGTGATGGTGCCCTCCATGCACCATTCAGGCGTGATGGTGCCCTCCATGCACCATTCAGGCGTGATGGTGCCCTCCATGCACCATTCAGGCGTGATGGTGCCCTGCATGCACCATTCAGGCGTGATGGTGCCCTCCATGCACCATTCAGGCGTGATGGTGCCCTCCATGCACCATTCAGGCGTGATGGTGCCCTCCATGCACCATTCAGGCGTGATGGTGCCCTCCATGCACCATTCAGGCGTGATGGTGCCCTCCATGCACCATTCAGGCGTGATGGTGCCCTCCATGCACCATTCAGGCGTGATGGTGCCCTCCATGCACCATTCAGGCGTGATGGTGCCCTCCATGCACCATTCAGGCGTGATGGTGCCCTCCATGCACCATTCAGGCGTGATGGTGCCCTCCATGCACCATTCAGGCGTGATGGTGCCCTCCATGCACCATTCAGGCGTGATGGTGCCCTCCATGCACCATTCAGGCGTGATGGTGCCCTCCATGCACCATTCAGGCGTGATGGTGCCCTCCATGCACCATTCAGGCGTGATGGTGCCCTCCATGCACCATTCAGGCGTGATGGTGCCCTCCATGCACCATTCAGGCGTGATGGTGCCCTCCATGCACCATTCAGGCGTGATGGTGCCCTCCATGCACCATTCAGGCGTGATGGTGCCCTCCATGCACCATTCAGGCGTGATGGTGCCCTCCATGCACCATTCAGGCGTGATGGTGCCCTCCATGCACCATTCAGGCGTGATGGTGCCCTGCATGCACCATTCAGGCGTGATGGTGCCCTCCATGCACCATTCAGGCGTGATGGTGCCCTCCATGCACCATTCAGGCGTGATGGTGCCCTCCATGCACCATTCAGGCGTGATGGTGCCCTGCATGCACCATTCAGGCGTGATGGTGCCCTCCATGCACCGTTCAGGCGTGATGGTGCCCTCCATGCACCATTCAGGCGTGATGGTGCCCTGCATGCACCATTCAGGCGTGATGGTGCCCTGCATGCACCATTCAGGCGTGATGGTGCCCTCCATGCACCATTCAGGCGTGATGGTGCCCTCCATGCACCATTCAGGCGTGATGGTGCCCTCCATGCACCATTCAGGCGTGATGGTGCCCTCCATGCACCATTCAGGCGTGATGGTGCCCTGCATGCACCATTCAGGCGTGATGGTGCCCTCCATGCACCATTCAGGCGTGATGGTGCCCTCCATGCACCATTCAGGCGTGATGGTGCCCTCCATGCACCATTCAGGCGTGATGGTGCCCTCCATGCACCATTCAGGCGTGATGGTGCCCTCCATGCACCATTCAGGCGTGATGGTGCCCTCCATGCACCATTCAGGCGTGATGGTGCCCTCCATGCACCATTCAGGCGTGATGGTGCCCTCCATGCACCATTCAGGCGTGATGGTGCCCTCCATGCACCATTCAGGCGTGATGGTGCCCTCCATGCACCATTCAGGCGTGATGGTGCCCTCCATGCACCATTCAGGCATGATGGTGCCCTCCATGCACCATTCAGGCGTGATGGTGCCCTGCATGCACCATTCAGGCGTGATGGTGCCCTCCATGCACCATTCAGGCGTGATGGTGCCCTCCATGCACCATTCAGGCGTGATGGTGCCCTCCATGCACCATTCAGGCGTGATGGTGCCCTCCATGCACCATTCAGGCGTGATGGTGCCCTGCATGCACCATTCAGGCGTGATGGTGCCCTCCATGCACCATTCAGGCGTGATGGTGCCCTGCATGCACCATTCAGGCGTGATGGTGCCCTCCATGCACCATTCAGGCGTGATGGTGCCCTCCATGCACCATTCAGGCGTGATGGTGCCCTCCATGCACCATTCAGGCGTGATGGTGCCCTCCATGCACCATTCAGGCGTGATGGTGCCCTCCATGCACCATTCAGGCGTGATGGTGCCCTCCATGCACCATTCAGGCGTGATGGTGCCCTCCATGCACCATTCAGGCGTGATGGTGCCCTCCATGCACCATTCAGGCGTGATGGTGCCCTCCATGCACCATTCAGGCGTGATGGTGCCCTCCATGCACCATTCAGGCGTGATGGTGCCCTCCATGCACCATTCAGGCGTGATGGTGCCCTGCATGCACCATTCAGGCGTGATGGTGCCCTCCATGCACCATTCAGGCGTGATGGTGCCCTCCATGCACCATTCAGGCGTGATGGTGCCCTCCATGCACCATTCAGGCGTGATGGTGCCCTGCATGCACCATTCAGGCGTGATGGTGCCCTCCATGCACCATTCAGGCGTGATGGTGCCCTCCATGCACCATTCAGGCGTGATGGTGCCCTCCATGCACCATTCAGGCGTGATGGTGCCCTCCATGCACCATTCAGGCGTGATGGTGCCCTGCATGCACCATTCAGGCGTGATGGTGCCCTCCATGCACCATTCAGGCGTGATGGTGCCCTCCATGCACCATTCAGGCGTGATGGTGCCCTCCATGCACCATTCAGGCGTGATGGTGCCCTCCATGCACCATTCAGGCGTGATGGTGCCCTCCATGCACCATTCAGGCGTGATGGTGCCCTCCATGCACCATTCAGGCGTGATGGTGCCCTCCATGCACCATTCAGGCGTGATGGTGCCCTCCATGCACCATTCAGGCGTGATGGTGCCCTCCATGCACCATTCAGGCGTGATGGTGCCCTCCATGCACCATTCAGGCGTGATGGTGCCCTCCATGCACCATTCAGGCGTGATGGTGCCCTCCATGCACCATTCAGGCGTGATGGTGCCCTCCATGCACCATTCAGGCGTGATGGTGCCCTCCATGCACCATTCAGGCGTGATGGTGCCCTCCATGCACCATTCAGGCGTGATGGTGCCCTCCATGCACCATTCAGGCGTGATGGTGCCCTGCATGCACCATTCAGGCGTGATGGTGCCCTCCATGCACCATTCAGGCGTGATGGTGCCCTCCATGCACCATTCAGGCGTGATGGTGCCCTCCATGCACCATTCAGGCGTGATGGTGCCCTCCATGCACCATTCAGGCGTGATGGTGCCCTCCATGCACCATTCAGGCGTGATGGTGCCCTCCATGCACCATTCAGGCGTGATGGTGCCCTCCATGCACCATTCAGGCGTGATGGTGCCCTCCATGCACCATTCAGGCGTGATGGTGCCCTCCATGCACCATTCAGGCGTGATGGTGCCCTCCATGCACCATTCAGGCGTGATGGTGCCCTCCATGCACCATTCAGGCGTGATGGTGCCCTCCATGCACCATTCAGGCGTGATGGTGCCCTCCATGCACCATTCAGGCGTGATGGTGCCCTCCATGCACCATTAAGGCGTGATGGTGCCCTCCATGCACCATTCAGGCGTGATGGTGCCCTCCATGCACCATTCAGGCGTGATGGTGCCCTCCATGCACCATTCAGGCGTGATGGTGCCCTCCATGCACCATTCAGGCGTGATGGTGCCCTCCATGCACCATTCAGGCGTGATGGTGCCCTGCATGCACCATTCAGGCGTGATGGTGCCCTCCATGCACCATTCAGGCGTGATGGTGCCCTGCATGCACCATTCAGGCGTGATGGTGCCCTCCATGCACCATTCAGGCGTGATGGTGCCCTCCATGCACCATTCAGGCGTGATGGTGCCCTCCATGCACCATTCAGGCGTGATGGTGCCCTCCATGCACCATTCAGGCGTGATGGTGCCCTCCATGCACCATTCAGGCGTGATGGTGCCCTGCATGCACCATTCAGGCGTGATGGTGCCCTCCATGCACCATTCAGGCGTGATGGTGCCCTGCATGCACCATTCAGGCGTGATGGTGCCCTCCATGCACCATTCAGGCGTGATGGTGCCCTCCATGCACCATTCAGGCGTGATGGTGCCCTGCATGCACCATTCAGGCGTGATGGTGCCCTCCATGCACCATTCAGGCGTGATGGTGCCCTGCATGCACCATTCAGGCGTGATGGTGCCCTCCATGCACCATTCAGGCGTGATGGTGCCCTCCATGCACCATTCAGGCGTGATGGTGCCCTCCATGCACCATTCAGGCGTGATGGTGCCCTCCATGCACCATTCAGGCGTGATGGTGCCCTCCATGCACCATTCAGGCGTGATGGTGCCCTCCATGCACCATTCAGGCGTGATGGTGCCCTCCATGCACCATTCAGGCGTGATGGTGCCCTCCATGCACCATTCAGGAGTGATGGTGCCCTGCCATCTATCACCATTCAAATGTGCTCAACCCCACCCTGGCGCCAAGCTGTTCAAGCCGCTGGACGTTCTGTGCACTCTTCTCTAGGTTTGGTGTTGCTTGCTAGACGGGATGTGCTCTGCTTACTCAGGGGTTCACGTGCCGCTCTTGTGCTGTGTTTGCATGCACGAGTGGCTTTTTCTTTCATGGCAGGATGGAGCTCTCACCCGGGCATTATAACGAACAAGGCATGTCATCTTTTCTCCACATCTCCCCATGCATCACCTCCCATGCATCATGCACGTGGCAGTGTGAGTGGCGAGGGACAGGAGAAGCAGGAGGACCAGCTGCAGTACGAGCTTGCCGTCACTGAGATGTGGCTCCTCGCCTTCTGGTGCGCCCCTGACCCCCCCTCTCCCCACTCCACTTCCCCCCTCTTCCACCCTCATTCCCCGGTTTTGACTCACATTATCCACGCTTTTGCATCTCCAATTGCACCCATTCGCCGTTGTTCACTCATGTGACTCAGGTGTGCCTCTTCTCACTCCCTTCCTCTCCATCCCCACATCTTCCCCCCTGCACGCACACCTGCTTGTTCTGTCCTTCCTGTCGTTGCACCCATGCACCCCTGCGGTGCTGCCAGCGACGTGCTACTGGTGACGGACACGTCCACGTTTGGGTACGTGGCGGCGGGGGTGGCGGGGGTGACGCCCTACACCATGAACGTGGCCAAGTGGAAGCACAGCGACTGGCGCTCCAACGGCCGCCTCGCCTGCATGCTCGGCTCGTCCGAGCCGTGCTACGTGCACCAAGTGGAGGAGCGCATCCTCGTGAGTCTTTAGTCGACTCAAAGCGCATGCTCGCCTCCTCCGAGCCCTGCTATGTGCACCAAGTGGGGGAGCGCATCCTCGTGAGTGGGGGAGCGCATCCTGGTGATTGGGGGAGCGCATCCTCGTGAGTGGAGGAGCGCATCCTCGTGAGTGGAGGAGCGCATCCTGGTGAGTCCACCACCGCGTGCTGATGAGGGGAGGAGGGCACCGGGGAGTGTGGTGGTTATTGATACCGGTGCAGAGGTGAACTCTTGCATAAATCATGTGTACATGTGCATGTGGGCGTGGGGGGTTGGGGCATATGGACATGTGTCCGTGTGTGCACGCAGCACCACCAGTGTCTGCCTGTGTCCGGACCTACATGGCGCCATGCCTGTGCCCGGACCTACATGGCGCCATGCCTGTGCTCGGACCTACATGCGCCATGCCTGTGTCCGGACCTACATGGCGCCATGCCTGTGCCCGGACCTACATGCGCCATGCCTGTGTCTCGTGTGCACTCTGTGCCCTGAGGGGCGCGTTGCAGCCTTTGCTGCTCCCGTGCTGCTCTCTGCACCGAGCTGCTCTCTGCACCGAGCTGTCACACCTTCAATCTCCTCCGCACCCCATGCGACTGCCTTCTAGTCTCAGTGGTGAGCCCGGGCGGCCATGCCACAGCTGCTCTTCTCGCGGTACTTCCTCTTTCCTTGCCTTCCACCGTTGCCTTGACCCAAATTCTCTCCACCACATATCTCCACCCTCTCCAACACCATCCTGTCACCCCCTCCCCCTCCCCCTCTCTTAGAATAGGAATGCAATGGAATATCGAAACTAGAAAGTGTGAGAGTACAAATATGCAACCCTAACAACTGTACTCCCTATTGTGCTACTCACTGTAGCCTACAAGCATAGAATTACATTTGACACACCCCCATAGGCTAAGTGAGGGGCATCAAAACAAGCAAGGTGAACAAACGGTCACAAGACCAGTCAAGGCAAGAAACAAGGCAAGGTCAGGGTGGATCTCAAGGACACCACACAAATTCCGAGCGCAAGCAAGCGGTCACAAGGCTAGTTCAAGAGTTCACTAGGATATAAATAGGAAGCATAACAAGCAGAGCAAACAACAAGACTACAGCAACCGAGGGCCTACCTCAACAAGCCCCAACTGCACACAGAACCTGTGGTGATCACCCTAGCGCCAAGGCCTTGGTGAAGACGTCTGCAGTGTTGGCCTCTGAGGCCACAAAGTCCAGGCGTGCCTGGCCGCGTCGCTGCAGCTCTCGCAGGAGGAAGTACCTCACGTCAATATGCTTCACTCTGCTCTCCAGTCGAGGCTCTCGACACAGGAGGATCATGGCCTTGTTGTCAGCGTACAAGGCCGGTGCAGAGCGAGGCCGCTCACCAAGGTCGGCGAGCAAGAAGGTCAACCAACGAAGCTCCTGTGCCGCCATGGCACCCGCGTAGATCTCTGCCTCTGCACTGGAAGTAGCCACAGACGACGACCGTGTAGACCTCCACGACACAGCACCAGCTCCCAGACTGAAGCAGTAACCCTGAGTCGAGCGCTGAGTCTCCACGTCGTCAGCGTAGGAAGAGTCACAGTGACCAGTCAACGCCACTGGCTGAGTCCCTCCAAACACAAGCCCCATGCCTGATGTAGTCGCTAGGTACTTCGCCACCCTCACAGCAGCTGTCCAGTGGACAGGGCGGTGTCTCCCAGTCGCTACAAAGCGAGAAAGGATGCTGAGGGGAAAGGCGAGGTCCGGTCGAGTACAAGTCATCAGGTACATGAGGCAGCCCACCAGCTCTGCGTACGGTCCACTGGACTCAAAGGGCTCGTCAGGAAAGGGGCCCGTGAGTCTGTGGTCAACAGCAAGAGGAGTGGGCTGTGTGGTGGAGAACTGGAAGTCGAACCGCCGAAGGACCTGCTGCACCATGTGTGACTGCGTTAGTGTGATGGTGCGAGCGGCTCTGTCCCGGGTGATCTGCAGGCCAAGGTAGCGCTGCAGGTCACCCAGGTCAGTGCACTTGTGTCTCTTCTGCAGTTCGGACTTCACCTGAGCCAGGGCTGCCCTGTCTGCGGTAGCAAACACCAAGTCGTCGACGTAGACAAGGATAAAGAAAGGAGTAGAACCGGCTCGAACAAACAGCGACGGGTCGGCGGAGGACGGGCTGAACCCAAGGTCACGAAGCGTGGAGCGAAGAGTGTCGTGCCACTCACGGGGCGACTGGCGGAGACCGTAGACTGGTCGCCTCAGGCTCCACTGGGTCCCAGGTGGGAAGGTGTCAGTGAAGCCAAGAGGACGGCGCAGCCAGATCTCCTCGTGCAGTCGGCCCTGGAGAAACGCAGTGGAGAAGTCGAGGGAGTGCAGCTCGTAGAATCGCTGCGCTGCTATGTGGAGTAACACCCGAGGAGTAGTCATCTTCGGGGTCGGGGCGAAGGTCTGGAAGAAGTCGACTCCCTCACGCTGACTGAAGCCCCTAGCCACGTAGCGCGCCTTGAACACCGGCGGTGCTCCAGGCGGTCGCTTCACCTTGAAGAGCCACATGCCATCGACTGCGTTCGCCCTGGGAAGGGGAACTGCGTCGACGTAGGTGCCTGTGGATCTCCACGACGTCAGCTCTGAGTCCATAGCCGCTTTCCACTGAGAGGCCCACGCCCCTGACACTGCCTCGCGGTAAGTGCGAGGAGTCGGTATGTCAAGGGCGTCGGGGTCTCCCTCAGGGGAGAGCAGCATGGCACACACAGAGGGAGAAGCGGCTGCCCAGTGCTCCAGCTCAGATTCTCTGTCCTCTAGGACGTCACAGCCAAGGGCAAACCCACCCCCGACGGACAGAGGACGGTAGGGAGGAGCTGGCACCACACGGGTGGCGTAGTCAAGGCGGCTGGCGGCAGCAAACTCAGCGACAGCGGCAGTAAGAGCCGAGACAGACGACGGAGGGAAACGAGAGTCGGTGACAAGTGTGGCGAGGACACGTGCGGCAACAGGACGAACAGCGCGGTAGTAGTCAGAGATAGGAGTGGGGAGGGCTGGGAGAGAGGACGGAGGAGGAGACGGGAGAACGGACACAGGAGAAGGAGAACGGCGACGAGACGAACAAAGGAGGGCAGTGTGGAGGTCAGTAACAGGGGACGAGTGACGAGCACGCGGAGGACAACGAGTGATCAAGTCGTGACGGACAGAAGGAGGAGGAGACCGAGGAGGAGGAGAAGACCAGACCGCCGGACGGTCGTCAGGAGGAGGCAACGGAGGGACAAACACAGGAGGAGACTGGGAGCGGACAGGAGGAGAGGAGGAAAGGCCAAGGGCCCGTAGGCCACTCACAGGTGGGAACAACTGCCGCTCCAGAGGAAGCTGCGGTGGCGGCTGCGGCTACTGCTGCTGCGGCGGCGGCTGCGGCTGTTGCTGCTGCGGCTGCGGCGGCGGCTGCGGCTGCGGCTGCTGCTGCTGCTGCTGCTGCTGCTGCTGCTGCTGCTGCTGTTGCTGCTGCTGCTGCTGCTGCCGCTGCTGCTCCAGAAAGTCCAGCACCCGCAGCTCCTGCCGCTCCCTCTCCAACCGCTCCTGCTCCTCACGCTCACGCCGACGGGCAGCCTGGAGACGCGTGTCGTGGCGGTGGGGAGGCGGAGTGGACTCCGCAGAACCAGGGTCTCCAGCGTCAGTCTCCTCAGACTCAGCACCCCCAGAACTAGCACCGCCAGTGCCAGCACCTCCAACTCCAGCACCCCCAGAACCAGCACCGCCAGTGCCAGCACCTCCAACTCCAGCACCCCCAGAACTAGCACCTCCAGTGCCAGCACCTCCAGCTCCAGCGCCCCCAGAGCTAGCGCCACCTGCGCCAGCACCTCCAGCTTCAGCACCCCGCGACCGAGCACCCCCAGACCGAGCACCGCCAGCGGTCGCACCTCCAGCTCCAACACCAACCGAGTCCACAGTAACCTGTCGCGGAAGTGCCGAAGGCTGCTGAGGGGACTGTGAGGAGGACTGCGGGGAGGGAGACGCTACCTGACGCGCGACCGAGGGTAGAGGGGTAGCGTGGGACACACCAGACGGGGCAGGACCAGGGGGGGGCGGGGGTACCGGAGGAGCAGGAGGAGGAGAGGGTGCTAGGAAAAGGGGGGGAGGGGGTACCAGGAGACCTCGACAAGGGTACCGGGTGTAGTAGGACACTGACTCGTCAAACCGGACGTCACGGGAGTCTAGGAACTGGTGGAGGGGCGGGTGGTAAAAGGACCAGTCGGCAGAGTCCACTGGGAAACCAAGGAAGACACAGGGTACGGCGCGTGCCGGGAGCTTGTCCGCGGAGGTGTCGCGAACAAGCGCAAGGCAGCCCCAGACTCGAAAGGCCGACCCGACACCAGGGGAACCTGTCCAAAGACTGGTCGGTGAAGCCTCGGGCCGCGAGACACGCGGCTGGAGGTTCAGCTGGTGTGCGGCGTAGCGAACCGCGTGGGGCCACAGAAAATGGGGCGCACGGGCATGGATCATGGACGTGCGGGCGATGTCCATGACCAAGCCTATGCGGCGCTCAGCAACCCCATTCTGCTGTGGGGACTCTGGCAGCGTCCAGGACTGGGTGATGCCCTGTTCGCCGCAAAATCCGCCGAGAATGCCAGAGCGAAACTCGCCCCCACGGTCGGAGTGGAGACAACTGACTCGACGACCACGAGTGCCCTCAGTGGCTAGAAGCCACCTGATCAGCGTAGCAGTCACCTCGGACTTCTTCGCAAGAGGGAACACGGTGGTGTACCTGGAGAAGTCGTCGACGACCACCAGAAAGTAACGGTCCCTCCCAGACCCCTGCGTCGGGGCAGGGCCCCAGACGTCCAAGTGGAGAGTCTCGAAGGGAGCGGTGGCCGGACGAAGGTAGGAGGAGTGGGGAGTGGCGCGTAAGCGACCGGCGACGCACGGAGAGCAAGGAGGGGCAAGCGAGGGAGGGAGCGACAGGAAGGTGCGTGGGAGACCTGTAACAAGTCCCTGACCGAGCATGCCACGAAGGCGAGGGATCGACGGGTGGCCAAGGCGGTGGTG